AAGCTTTTAGTCTAAGCTTTTATTCTTGCATGTAATTTATATTTATTTGTTATTATACAAATTAAGTTCTTTATAAATTTTATGTAATTAATTATATAAATTACTTAATAAAGATATAAGCAAGGCCTCACCTCAAAAAAAAAATAAAATAAAATAAAAATAAAGTCTATTGGAACTATATACAAGATCTAGAAACAATAATATTAAAGATCTGAATAACCATGTCTGGGTAGTTTTCACAATACCTGCCACCTCTTAACATACTAAGTAAACCAAATTAATCTCTTCTAGCTTATCATAATTGCTAGTATCAAACAAATAACTAATACACAGATCAGATATATTATCAATACTGTCATAATCTCTACTTTAGAATACAGAATTTACAATATTGTTCTTAGCCAATCAATTTGTTAAAAAATTTTTAAACAATCTATCAATCTTGTCAAATACAAAGCTAAGCTTTGCCTCACTATCTCTACAAGTATTCTTTTTTACCCATATATATACAATATTAAAAACATTTAATATTCAACTCTAACATTATATTCCCAACTTTAATAAACATCTTAACAATAAATCTCTTCTTGATATATCTATTTGAATTCATATTCAACAACTCTAGTACATACAATCTTTAATCCTCTACTAACATTCTATCTTACTCCAACCTGCTCATTAATAGTCTCAATAGATACACAATCAACTTTAAAATTATACAACTCTTCAAATATCTAAACTGGACAATTCATTCCAACCCTTGTATACCCATACTTTCAACAATTCAAGAAAGATCTGTAACTCTTGAATTTATCTTGTTATTATACCCCAATTACTCTACTTTTAAAAAACAACAATATCATTATTATATACTCTTTTTTGATCAATTTACTATCTTTAACAACTTCTGTCTTCTTGACTAAAAACTTATATCTCCAAGATTCTACAAGATACCTAAAGGCAAAATTCTACAATGGTTTAAATTGCTCAAAAATTCTACTATCAACTCTTCCTACAACAGCTCCATTTCTTCTTAACTAAATATGCTACCAACTAATTATTATAGCTATAACACTGGCCTTTTTCAAAAACACTCTAAGCCCTGGCTTATTACAATATCCAATAGCCAGGTTATTGTCAGCAAAGCTTGCTGCCAATCAACAAACTTGGAGTTGATACTAATTAACCACTGGCAATGTGATATCACAACTGCCCCTTTACCACTATACCCAATTCCCAACATAATTTCTAAACCATGCTCTAACTGTCCTCTTAATTCCAGCTTTATTGAAAACAAGTATACTATTCTTATTCCATCAAGCCATACTACTAAATTTTTGGGTAGATTCTACCCTGACAAATCAATTAACTTCAACACAAACCCTCTTGATCTTATCCACTCAATCAAACACTTCTGTTCCTGTTCCTCCAAACCTTATTATACATGCTTTACAAATTTTTCTCTCTTTCACACTAACGATGCTTCTAACACTCTTCAACAACTTGCTAACTACAACTAGTATTCTACCTTACATTTTATACCGATGGATCTGTCATTAGATCTGAAAACCTCCAATGCTCTATGGGAATTGGTTGGCTACAGATTGAAAATGACAATATTCTTCACATTTTTCAAGCACAAATCTCACTATATCCATGCTCTTTTGAAGCCGATTTACTTTCCATTTTGTCTGCTTGGCTGATATAAATCAATTGTCCGAGGTAATTTATTTATACAGTATAAAATACTTTGAGAACGTAACGTTTCACTAACAAAAAGATCATCGTAAAAGTCTTCGAATGAATGTCTATATTCACTGTGCAAAAATATTCAAAAATGATCAGCAACCTCAAAAACTCCACTTAGAAGCGAATATTTCATTATTTATTACTATAACTATTTCGTTACTAGCTATATAAAGTTGTATGCAAAAAAAGAAAACAGCCGAATAAACAAGCGATCAAGACGTTTAAGATAAATATAGATCTAAAAAATAACTCTTATAATATAAGCTTTTAACTTATCGTATTTTAAATTCGACATACTTTTTTAATAATCTTAATACATATATTATTTTAATACTATTGTGAAGAACTTATTAAGTAGATAAATATAAATAATGGATTTAGTATAGATATGTACATTACATGTAGTATTAATTAATATTATAAACCGAAGACAGTATTGAAATGGTTGGTTGTATTAGTTGAAAAATAGGGTTGTTTAAGATTTATATTAAAAAGAGTGAAATTTCCTTTTTGATGAGTACAAATACGAGTAATAGCTAGAAAAATATATGTAATACTGATTAATTTATAATGTATCTGGGTAATAGCAACTTGAGCAAAGGCAATAATAAGTAAAAATGTGATTTCTACTTGAATAAATAATTAATAAAAGATAATTAATATAAGTTTCGCAGGTAATCACGAGTAGATCTATAAAAATTAACCAATCATATTCCTATAGGTTATAACCTCTTAACTGACGGCTATTACCATGATCGGTCAAAGACTTTTAAGTATATTGTTTGTGTAGTGTTATACCAACTATGAACTAATACCCGATAATAACTAACTAGCGACCTATTGTAACCGACTGAACCAATCCTTACAATCATCGCTAATAAATTTCTTAATCTAGTTCAAGTCAATGACTAACCTTCCAGATGATGACTTAAATTATATCTGCTACATGAGATAAATTTTTTTTCAGGCTTAATCCGAATTCGATAGTACTTCTTCAAAAGTTATACATAAGTGTGTGAGGAGCTTTGCAAGCACAATTAGTGTCACAAAAAAGTAATATAAATCGCTATAAATGTAAAAAGTCAATTCCCTCACGAAGCAGTTTCCATCACAATAATCACGCTTGTAATATTTAGTTGATATAATATATGACTAGATTATTTGCATAAAGTTTTGCGAATGTAAAGCATTGCTATTAAATTGGATTTAAACGTTCTGATTTTTAAATTAAATATGCATTTAATATGTTCAAAATTAATTTTAAGTTAGTTCAAAATTCTTTAACAATTAAATTGGATTTAAAGTTTCATTCAATTTATGTGTATTTAGTACCAACTTATATTGATTCTTAATCTATCAAGATTCCATTCAGAAATACAATACTTATTTCTTGTACAGGGAGTTTACATCGTGTTTTCGCAAAATAACGTGCAGGTGTGTGGTTTCAAATTTGGACTAAATAAGCTTAATTCGGCCATTATTCTAAATAACGCTCACGAACGTTATTACGCAAAAATACCATGTTTAACAAAGTGATTTAAAAATTCATTGAAAATTCAAGGCCTTTTCATATTGATGTATTGTACACAAGGTTTCAAACTTTATTACACTAGCTTTTCATATTTATCGAATAAATAATTCTGTGCCTGTCCTGTGGTTGATGTTATAGTTAGAGTTATCAATATACATCAATTATTCAAAATTTTATACGTTAACTTTTTCAAATTTAATAATTACGTAAACAAAAATTATAATTATAGAATCAAATCACATGGCACAATGTAATGCGAACTGTGTAATGGTACTGTACAATCTTCCTGCAGTAATTGAATACTGAGCTTATGGGCCAATTTCCGCAGTTTTTATTATGAAATCAATCATATGCAAAATTTGTCGTGACTATTGAGATTAAAAGGTGATTTTCCTTACGATTTGCTTATCAGTTATTTAAATAGTTTATTTTATGGGTCTTATCAGTTTTTATATAAATTTTATAATCATTTTAATAATTATAATGTCCCGACTGGACGTTTTGGCCCATACGGTATTATTTATGCAGGTAATTACAAACCACAAAACAATGCATATGCACCATGCAGCACTATACAGGATTATTTAAGCAAATTATTTGAGTATAGTATAGCACAGCATAGATATTTTATGCCTTACTCATTACTTACTGTTATTTGAAGGTCTTTAACCTTTTCGGGTTGAATTGATATCATGAAAGGTGAAATATATATAAAATTATAGCACGCCATCGAGTTATCCACGTCTTCGACTTTTGGGTCTTGATAGGTTTCAGAAATTAATAATTAGGTTATATAGAATACACGTGCTAAATAGTAAATATGCAAAACAATCAATGAAGAACTTGCATTTTTTTTTTTGTTAGACATTCAAGGCAACTTCGAATAACATGTCTGTTTTTGTATTTAAAATAATTATGTTAATTGCGTTCACATTTTGATTACTGGCATACAGCATTAGAAGTAGTATTAGAAGTAGCATTAGAAATTCATTGGAGATCAGTTCATACATTTTATGAAGGAGGCTTATTCAAAATAAAGATCTCGGAGAATTTTATTATTAGTTAATTCTTATTAAAGTTTTGTGGCAATTTTAGGATTTCGAATATTATTTATCAATAGATTTTGTTAAACAGTTTATATAATTATATATTTAAAATACAATATAAGATGATGACAATTCGGTTTTGTATAAGTTTCATTTTTCGGACAAAAACAAACATTCAATTAATTTCTTGATAATGATTGGTCTTCTATAATGAACAAAAGATGCACATATATGTATGTGTAAATTGTATCAAAATTTTATAAATTTCTTACCTTTATTTGTATATGTGCACATTTATGCATGGTACAAGCAATTTCGATGATTTCCATTTTAGATTTGTAACGTGATCATCAAGTTATCTTAAAGATTCAAACAATATTCTAACTAATTCTAATAAAACTTTCTCTGTCTACAAAAATTATAGCGTAGTATTCGCTCGCTTGCTGCGCATATCATTCCTTATTTTCATTCCATACTTTAAAAAAGCCATGAAGTCACCTATGCGTATAAGAATCAATTTGTTCTTTAAACTAAAAATTTCATTATTATATATATATTTATTTTTCGCCGTTTTTTTATCAATTCAAACTAATGCACAGCAATTAAATCCAGCACCAGGTCCTCGTGATGAGCCATGTCTTGTAGCTTATGAAGATAAAGTATATGTATTTGGTGGTACTGGAAATGACGCAAAGAACAGTTGGTTTAGTTATGTAAAAGCTCCATTTAATACTCAAAGTTTGAATTGGGTCGCAATGCCTACGGCTGGTTCACATAATGCGAGTGGTAGACCTGCTTGTGGTGTAACTTCCGCTGGTGTGTTAATAGTGACAGGTGGTGGATCAACTTCTGATCCAAATTATAGTGGTATACAGGCTTTTGATCTAACTAAAGGAACGAGTGGTACATGGTATGTGGTTTGCTAAAATTAATTGATGCTGTATATTGAGGATATTATACTAATAATTTCTTTATTACTCGAAGGTATACGCCACAAACTACAGGTCTTGATACTGTTAAGTATCTGACATATCGTAATAGTCATAGACTCGTCATATTTACCACTTCTGCCGGTGAAGAAGTACTGTTCCAATTTGGTGGATCACCATCAAACGATACATATATACTGCATATTTCCAATATGACATGGGAAACGATACCACTAGACTCGACAACCCCACCACCAAATGGATTATTCGGTATAGCATATTCTAAGGATAATGTGTACATAGTTGGAGGAAGTTCAGATTTCAATGGTGGTATATTCGCTGATGTATGGGGTTTCAATGTTCCTACACGTAAATGGTTTGATCCAAAAGCAACAATGCCTACCGGATGGTTTGATGGACATATAGGACATCTAAATGATACTTTTTATATAGTTTCCAGTGATAGCTCTGGTCCTAACTCAGCAATGAGAGTTTGGGTAATTATTTCAAGATTAATTCTTATAAAATAAAATAAATATGTATATAATTATACCAGTAATTCATCGCTTTTTATCTATTTAACAGACGCTATCAAACAATTCTTTTTATACTTACACTTCCGGATCTATGATCACAGTAGGCCATTCTTATTATGCTAGCGCGCAACTTCTTGGCAGTGATGCTTTAGTTGTACGTATATTTCGAATAAATCGTTAATTTCAATTGACTTTTATTTTATTAAAACCTTTTATTAATTGTTTTAGTGCTATGGTGGAAGCACACAAAACAGTAGTGCGGCTGGTGATATAAATACCTATCTTGGAAATACTGCTGATTTTTTAATCTTCAACATGACTCAAAAGGCATGGGTTACCAACTATAATTATTTGAAAAATGCACCAATGGATCAATTTATTGGTGGTCCCTTGGCTCCTAATCAGAATGACCCATTCCTAAAACCCCTTTCTTCATCTTCTCAAGGAAATAATACCAGTTCAAATGGTTCAAATATTTCAAATGGTTCAACAGGAAACAGTAATTCAAATAATTCGACCAGCAATAATAATTCTTCATCATTTCCTCCAATGTTATTATACATTATCATAGGAGGAGTCGTGACCCTTATAATAGCAGCTATTGTAGCTTTCTTCTTCTATAGGAAATATCGTAAGAGACAAAATGAAAATTCCAAAATTTACTCACTCGAAAAAGAAGATACTCTTGAACAGAACCCTAATTTAGATTATAAATCAAATATAAAAGCATATCATCCAGCTCAATTTAACTTATCTCCTGAAAAAAAATCAAGATTTGCCAAAATTTGGATTTTATGCAAATTCAAATTCTTCAAATTCTACATTAACAACACTAAAAGGAACTCAGCATACTATACGTGTACATGCAACTGCTAATTCTCGATTTAAGGATGAAATATTCAGTCGTCACAAGCTTACTGCTATGGTTTATAATCAACCTGACGCTGCTTTCATAATGCCATCTGCTCCAACCGGAACTATCATTCTCCAACGTTATAAGCTTTGTGGAAATTCTGCTTATGGTGGCAATAATACAATACGTCAAGCTATTGATGAACAAACAGATGATCAAGTTGCTATTAAATTTTTCCAGAATTTTGAATCTTTTGAACGAGAAGTCGTCATGCTTAAATACTTGCGCTCTCGTCATGTCGGAGAGTTGTTAGCATTATATGAACTTCCTTCAAAAGAAGATTGGCCTTATGTTATAATTTTAAATTATTATCCTCAAAGTATGGATAAATTAATTATAACCAGGTTATCCTCAATGGATGCTCTGTATATTAAATTGTTAGTTAAATCTATCACACAAGCAATTCATTATCTTCATACTCATAATGTTGCTCATTTGGATATTAAACCCGGTAATTTTGTACATGAAAAGGCTGATCCTACAGCATGGTAAGTTGTTTTTTAACAAATAATTTCATGAATCAATATAATATCTGAACCTTTTCCGCTATTAATTAAAAGGCGTCTTGTGGATTTTGAAGCAGCAAGATTTGTAGGAGAGGAATATGTCGATGATTGTTCACCTATGTATTGTCCACGTAAGTATTTATTAATTTATTAAATTTTTTTTCATATTTGTAAAGTTTGTTTCAGTAACCATATTGGTAATTGGTTAATTTGTTATAGCCGAAGTGTTCAATGCTGCTTATAATAAGCAGCCTATAATTGCTTCAACTTCAATGGATATATGGTCACTGGGTTGTATAATTTTTGAACTATATACAAAAACACCACTTTTCTACTCTGAAGAAGATGCCATTGATAAATTGACTAAGAGTTTTGCTAAAGGAGAATTAGTAGATTTTCCAATAAATAAAATTCCTGATCAACAAGCTAGAAATATCTTGTTAAAAATGTTGGCAGTCAATCCATCTGAAAGAATCTCGTGCGAACAAATTCTTCGTTCTGCCTTTTTAAATTCAGGTTTGGACACTAGACAGGTAATAATAGTCTTGAAAAAAAATTTAATAGGTATCGATACATGGTTTCTATAATTTAATTATTTATCATTTATTATCGTTATATCTATATACAGTTGAATACACTACATAATGATTCAGCTGACCGTATTATTACCGCAGTAAACCAAAATACCAACACAATTCTCTCAACACTCCAAGAAACAACTAATCTTATCCTCAAGCAAATTGATGTAGTAGTTAACAGTATAACTGACACGATGGATGCTGCAATACCACGTCTATATGTTTTATTACCAGGTCAAGATGCTAAATCTATATTCCGACCACAAACTTGGGGAAGGAATACGTTTATCTTGCACCTTCTTTGTGAAGGTCTAGATCCAAATAATCAAGAAGCGCATTTTACAAGCTATAGGGGTTATGAAATTCATGATCCGAAACCATTATTAAGAAAGGCTGGTCCATATCTTTCTATAATGGCGACAGTTATCTCTACAGGGGTTGGTATTTATTATTATTATTATTATTTTCGGACCAAATTTTGAACATTTTTTTTTTAATTTTTTAGCTTAGTCATGCTTTGCATCTGAATACATCACCTGATATTTGTGGCATGATTTCTGGTGTTTCAACACGACCTACTGAATATTTCAAGCAACTAACGCAAATGCTTGATTCAGAAATTACATATCCAACAGAAACAAGAGATATTGAAAGAACAAGAAAGGATCCTGTTGGTCGAATGAAAGTTGTTCAAGGTGCTGCATTACGAGAACTTGAGGCCTTTTTAGCAATGAATGATCAAGGAAAAGAGTGGGGTGGTCTCCAACGTGTTGTATTGGAAAATGGAAGATGGAGATGGGTATGCGAACATTGTCATAGTCGTTTACAGACTTATGAAGATTCCTATTCTATTGAAGATGATGATAGCTTCGGAATGGCCATATGAAATTAATAGAAAATATTTAAACTACCGCATAGAAACATGAATTATTTTATCATTTGGTTCTCATAACTCAACTGGGTCGTTTATTTAAACTTCTTATTGTATTTTTTTCTTTTCTTTTTTTTTTTTTTTATCCTGCCATTCACTATATCAAAATCACTGAGGATTAATGAATTATACCCTGGAATATGTGTACAAGTTGATATTTATTAATATTAACATTTAATGTCCAGGTGTTATGAGAACCAAAAAAAAATAAAAAATCAAGATTTCATTTTGTATATTAATAATTTCATTAATTCCGTAAAAATTTTTTCTTGCATATAAACTATACAAAATTGTTGACGGCAGATTACATGTCCAATATATAATATTAGTTTATAGTACCAGTAGATATATAATATTGTAGTTACTTTTTTAAATAATGGCATTTGTATATCTAAAATATTTAAAAAGACTTATTTGAAATATTTGAAATAAAAATTTACTTATTGTCTTTAGACTAGCAAATGGTCCATGTTTCGCCTGGAGATTTATAAAGACTATAACCTGTTTTATGAAATATTTATAAATTATTCAACACAATAAGAAACCAAATATGTGGTAGATTATCTTAATATTAGAGATTGGAACCAGTTAAAAATCCTTTTTGATTTGTTGATTATTAATGACAACAATTCATAAAATTGCTAGGATTAAAATATAAATTTGACTACTATGCGATTGTATTTTATTTGCTGGTTTTTTTTTTACAGAGCACTCAAGAATTCTGTGCCAGCTTTTGTCGATCATGTGATAGTATTCTTGGCTATGTTACGTATATGTAGGGTTACAATTATACCGGTACAAGGCCACGCAAAGTTGATTTTTCGTTTTGCATTATCCGCCTACCCATTTTTTTTTGTTTTAAGTCCCAATTGTGCCAATTATTCTATTTTTGCCGCTTAATTTTTTTTCATAAATTAATCCAGTATCACTTGATAGACCTTATTTTCCGAAATTATCCGATAGTACTGACAAAAAAATATTCGACTGCCGACCCAATTTTCTGATTTCATGTTATGCAAAGCGAAAAATTAACTCTGCGTGAACTTAAATGTAAACATGAGTCTATTAATTTACTGTAGATTTAAAAAAAAATCCGACCAACCGACAGTGGAATGGTAGTATAACACCATATAAGGTACTGTATTATACTGTTATCGTGCAAACTCTTATGATCATAGATATTTCTCGTTATTTTTTGTACGTTATTACCAGTGTGCGAAATTCAATGTTCTCAATGTTCTCCGAGAACACTAATAAAATTTTAAGAACATAATTTATTAAAATATGTTTTCTATGTGAGGACATTAAATGGATTTTTTTGATATTATACAAATTTAATTCTTCTATATTGAGAACATTAAAAATTTTTTGAGAACGTTGAGGACTGCTGGACTGGAAAAATGTTCTCAGTGAGAACATAAAATCAAAATTGAATTTCACACTCTGGTTATTACATAACAATCTCGAATTAAAACTCAGTTAGCCAATAATGACTTGTAAAGCATGATCATAATTGCACAATAACATCATGCGATGATAAATTTCATGGTAAGGATGCTTGTCCTCACTCGTGACATTCCAAATTTGTCTTAGTTTGTGAAATAGTAATCACAATGCGTTACTCACGACATTCATTCTTAATGCTTATCTCCTAGTTTGTGAAATGGTTAATGCTTATTTTTTTATTTTCTCCAAATTTGTCCTAGTTTGTAAAATAGTTAATGCTTATTTTTATTATTTTCTTCAAATTTGTCCTAGTTTGTAAAATGATTAATGCTTATTTTTTTATTTTCTCCAAATTTATCCTAATCTGTGAAATGGTTAATATTTATTTTTTTATTTTCTTCAAATTTGTTCTAGTTTGTGAAATGGTTAATGCATATTTTATTATTTTCTCCCTATTTGTCCTAGTTTGTGAAATGATTAATGCTTATTTTTTTATTTTCTCCAAATTTGTCCTAGTTTGTAAAATGTTAATGCTTATTTTTTTTATTTTCTCCAAATTTGTTCTAGTTTGTGAAATGGTAATTATGCTTATTTTTTTATTTTCTCCAAATTTGTTCTAGTTTGTAATCATGATGTTTGTCGTTATATGCAATATCCTAAATGGAGATAGGGCAAGTTTTATTCTGATTATTTGAGTAATGAAATTATTACTTTCTTGAAAAAAAATTTAAAATAAATACTTTTAGTCATCCTTGATGCTTTCTTTTTAGCAATTTTCTCCAAATTTGTAAAATAGTAATCGCAATTTTGTTGTAGTAATGCCTGATAAAACCATGTGATACTAATTGTCACATAGTACAATATATAAAAATCAACAATCTATTTTGATTTTTTATAAGTAATAACATGTAATAATTAGCATTGTATAGTTTTGTTAGACATCAATATTTGTTCAATCTTTCCTTTTTAGCATTTTTCTCCAAATTTGTTTTAGTTTAAGAAATGTGACGATTCCGATAAGAATTAAATATAAATATTTATCATATATTTAAAACTTTTCATTTATCCATATAAATATGAAGAAATGACTAAAGCTCTGTACACTACATCAAATAATAATTTAAAATTAACAACATGGTTAATAGAATCTCTGGACATAAAATATCTCAAAGCGAAAGTAGGATTGAAAAACTTTATTAGAAAAACTTAAATAAATTTAAGGTTAAAGCATCTGTCAATCACAGGCAACAAAGATAACAAAGATCTATAAAGAGCTTAGAAGCTCAATATTTAATTAAATAATCTAATTTATTTAGTTTTATAGGAATTTAACCATCATGTACAAATAAATTTCTAACCATTGAAACTGTTGAACCACCTAATCAAAAGTTAGAAAATTACAGTAGTAATGCTCAATATAACTTTACAAAAATATTGGATACGAACTTAAAAAAAAATATAGCAACAGATAGATAGGTAAACTCCATAATAACTTTGCATAGCCATTTAATTTAAGTTTTCAAACAGATAATAGTAACAGATAGATGATTCAAAACAAAAATAACAATCAAATATCTGAATTAAAATTTAGAAGCTGATTGTAGTAGCAAATTAGTAATTCTATCTCAAAATGGTTTCTTACAAATTTCTGACTTAAATTTAGAAACAGGTAATAACAATAGATGGATAATCTTATCCTGAAGTGACTCTATACAAACTTTTAACTTTAAGGGTAGAGTGTATGTAGATCATTTTTCATATAATATATATAGAAGATCAAGACCTTATATAGACAATAAAAATTAGCTACTGATAAAAATTTTTATAAACATAGTTAATCATTACCAAATTTTTGTAGAACATAAATTGTAACTTCTATTTATAGTAGTAAAAATTTAAAAGCTATATTATTTTTAAAAAAAAATTACTTCATTATACTGTTAAATTTGCTAGAATCACACAAAAAAATAAATAGTAAAAATATTTCTAAATCAGGTAATTACCCAATTAGATTTGTGCTTACTATATAATTTGTTATACAAAAAAAATTATTATATATATCATATTAAAAATAATCTACGTATACTCTACACTTAATTTGAAAATAGATTATAAAAATAAATTAGTAGCTTTATTTTAAAATAGCTTTATACAATTAAACTTAGAAAAAAGTAATAATAATAGTCAGATAATTACATTCCAAAATGATTTTAACTTAGAAACAAAAAATAGTAATAGATAGATGGCTCAATCTCAATATGACATCACACAAATGTTTGATCAAAAAACAGAAAATAATAATAAGATGGATAACCTTATTGCAAAATAACTTTATACAAGTAGATAACAACAACAGACAATCACAGAATAACTTTATGCAAATATTTAATTTCAAACCAAATAATAGTAATAGATTTATTACCTCTTTACAAAATGACTTCAAACAAATATCCAACTTAGAAATAGATAGTGACAATAGTGATAGCTTGATGATTTTATTTTAAAAAGACTATAATATATATATGTATAATTATAAAGTTTATTTCTTCTTTTTTAATTTATATTATATTTCTCATGTGTATTTCCTTTATTTTCTTTACTTTCTTTTTGAATTAGCTCAATTGGTATATTCAAATTCAATATCAAACATTGGCTATAATAATTTTTGTTTTTATATAAACCTTGGTACTCATTATTTATTTACTGTTTATGTGTTTTTATTCGTATATGTCTATTTTCTATTAATGTCTACTATTTATAATTATATTTATAGTACATGTAAATTTTAAAGATTCAGTATAGTTGTTGTTATTATTACAAAAAACTAGCCCCAATATTATAGAAGAATCTATCTGCACAATATTTTCTAGAAATTTAGCCCAAGAATAGTGTTTATGTGCCCAACTAATATTATATACGTAGCTATTTGTTATATTATCATTATATATTAAGTTATCTATTTTTTTTCATTAATATAACATAATACACACCAATGTATAAGTAAAAATTATGTAAGAGTACTAAGCATTTTCAACATACCAAAATATTGTAATTTATTTTTCATAATTTTCTGAGATTTGTTCATAATAAGAAAAGTTCTATTTTAATAAAAAAGAAAAAAGTAAATTAGAATAGTAATATTTGTATAGAAACTACTTGTGTTATTATGTAAAAATTTTTAAAAATATGATGTTTGAGAGTTGATTAGCGAGCATTTAAAATGTAAAATTTATATATAGTATATATCTATTAACCATATATTTTATAATATTTAAAATTATTAAATTCAGAAATAAAGTAATATCTGTTCTTATATTTTTTTTTCAAGTCTTGTAAAATTTATTGGAAATACTATATTTCTTATATCCTCAATATATATTTTTTTACAAACAACTAGGCACTTGAATTGTTTAGAAAGAGTTAAAAAAGAGATGTTATATTATATTATATAACTGTAATATAACTTGTTACATATTAATTATATTGTAATTATACTTTTGGTAATATATAAAATTTTACTATTTCAATTTTATTGCAATTAAGTTAGTTAACTTTTCTCTTTATTTTTTGTTAATTTTTTTTTTAAAATGTCTTGCCTTATTATGTATATATAGTAGATTCTTACAATAATCATGTTTGAAATAGTCACAATCTTACTATAATTATCTTAATTTTTTGTTTTTATAATATGTTGCAGATGATGCTAAAATTCACGTAACTCATGACCATATATCACATTTGACAGTTTTTGAATATCATGTAATATGATTATCTAGAAAAAAAACAATTGTCCAGTCTACCCATTCAAGAAAAGCAATACCACCTAGAAAAAGCTCACTACAATTCAAAAAAAACCCACCACCAACCAAGAACACACACCACCTATCCAAGAAAATACACACCACCCATTCAAGAAAGCATATACTATCTATCCAAGAAGCAATAGATGCTCATATAAAAAAAAACAAAGTTTTTTTTTTTAACATGCTGGCAATTTCTAAAATTTTTGAAACAGAAGAAGAGTATAAGATAATAGTCAAATATCTTTGTTCAGGAACTGTTCTGAATAGTGTTCAAAAAAATATCTTTGCAAAACAACAAGATCCAACTTTATTTATCATTGCAAAAATTTTGAAATTGATAAAAATAAAATTCTTTACATTAAACCAGTTGTAAAAAATAGTGTAGTTAAATTAAAAAAATGCTATATAGTCCCTAAGTATGACATAAAAATATGTGTTATAATTTTAGAACACTTTTATGATCAGACAGAATACTGCAAATACTATAAATATTTTCTATAATTTCAAAAAAACATATTGAAATCACACAGGAAGAGGTGAAAGCATATATCAACAAATATGCCACTCGTGCTATAAATATCTCCATAAAAAAAAACTAATATAATATCTGTAGTATTTCTGGGTTTTTGGTAGCACATTCAAATCAACTTAATTAATTTCTGTGATTTTGCTAAAAAGAATTATGATTTTTTATGACTGCTTATCTGTGTCTATAAGTTCTATAAATTTCTCATTGCAGCTTTAATTAAAAATAATGAAGCAGAAATAGTTGTAGCAAATCTCCTTAAAAATGTTTTCAAGATCCTTGGGCCTCCTGTCTTTTTTAAAGCAATAATGGTAAAGAATTTGTTGCAAATATGATTACAGAAATTTGAGACACTGAATATTACAATTAGACATAGTCAACTTCAGTATCCATAGTCACAAGGACAAATCAAGTAACTTAATTAGACTGTAGACTGTGGTTTACTAAGTTGCTTTGGGATTAAAATAATTAACTACAATGAAAAAACTAAATCAATATAATTAACATAGTTGTTACATTATATAACTTAATAGTTTATATAGCACATGGTTGTTTACTACATAAAGCACTTTTTGGGTAGAAGATATATTGTGCTTATAATACTTTTAGCATACCTAGTTTGTTAATATTCAACTTGTTAAATAAATAGAGTTAAGTTAAACTTGAAATAAATAAGATTAGAGTAAAATTGTTAAATAGAGTAGGGTTAGAATTGTTAAATAAAGTAGGGTTTAAATAGAGTTAAATTAGAATAGGGTTAGTAGTATTCAAAGAGGGTTAGATTAAGTTAGAGTAAGAATAGTATTAGAGTAGTTATAGTTTAAAGTTCATGATTAGAGTTTTAGAATTATAATACTAAATATTCATTTATCTCTTTTTATAATAGGTGCCTCCAGGAATATTGTTGTGAAAGCCACTACTAAAACCACTATAACCAAAACTGCCACAACTAAAACCACTACTACTGAGACTACTATTGCCAAAACTACTACCACCACTACTACTATAGCTGCTACTGTTACTGACAAAAGGGCTGCCACCGAATGTACCACTGCTACTACTACTATAGCTGCTACTACTACTACCAAAATTGCTATTTCTGAATTTACTACCACTACTACTACTGTAGCAGCTACTGCCACTATCAAAATTACTATCTCCGAATCTACTACAAGCCAAATTATTGTTAGTAAAACCACTACTTCCCAAGCTTCTACTTCTGAAACTATTACCCAAATTGTTAAATTCAAAGTTGTAAAAGAATATATTTTATGAACATTGAAACTTTAGCAATCTATAAATATATTGCTTAGAAAGTATTGTAAAAAAATATATTAGCAAGGCAGTGTATATAAAAAAAAATAGATAATAACACAATCAAAGCTAGAGCCATCATTACTATTGCACCAGATTATAATATGAATCTGCAAACTAGAAAAAGAAAGTTACAACCAATTTTTTTCCAACAAGATATATTTAAATTACTCATATTAAACAATCAAATAGCAATTATTAAAGTTAATAGCAAGGATAATTGAGTTTTTATTAAGTAAGTCAAAGCTATACAAAAGAAGTTATAATCTAATTGTAATAGCATTTAAATAGGTGGGTAGGTAGGCAAAGCTTTTTTTTTAAAGCTTTTTTTTTTAAGAGTAGGGTGTATATAGATTAATTTTCATATGATCTACGTGGTATATTGAATTTTTACATATAAACAAAAAAGTTCTTTTAATAAAATTCTTCAATATCTTAACCAATTTGTATCAAATTTATACAATATATAGTTTAAAGTAGTTTGTTTATAATAATAAAGTTGTACAATACATATTGGTTTAAAAAAAATTAACTTTACATATAACTAAAAAATTTCTAGATGCTAAATGTTTTCCTCTGATTACACAAAGTATTTCTAATTATAATTGGTCAAATCACATGTTGTTTACATGTAAATCATATGATACTATATAATATTGGTTACATGATATTGATCTACAATCTATTTTATATGAATTTGGAAATAGTTACACCCTACCCTTAAAAAAAAAAGTCAAAAAAAATAACTTACTTTTTTTTGACCTTTTTTTTAAAAAAAAAGTTAAAAAAAAGTAAACTAATTTTTTTTGAAGCAGAAATTTTCTAGAATAAATAGATTTTTTAGTACACTTTTTCTTTTTATAAGCTAATAGCTTGGTTTCTTTATAAATAAAAGTGAAATTTTAGAATTATCATGTATCTAGATTACATAGTTGTGTTATTTGAACTATTCTAGCATTGCCAATCTCAAAATTTGCTATTAAAATTTGAGGTTTAGTGTAATATAAAATCAAATTTGTCTAAATACTAGATTCCAAACTGAGTTCTGAATTCTAATTATTATAAATTCAAAATTTTTAGAATGCAAATATATGGTTACAAGTTATATAATTTTTAGCATCATTCAATTTCATGATCATCTATAATATAATATATTAAACAGTAAATTCTTACAATAGTCATATACTAAAGTTAGATGATTTATGTATTTATTGTGAGATTGTAACTAATATATACAAATAAAAATTTAATATATAGTAAATTCTTGCAATAGTTGCATTCTAAATAGTTGCAATTTTACTATAATCATCTTAATTTTTTATTTTTATAATATATTATATATTAAATTTTTACCCATATTAGTTATAATCTCACAATAAGCATATAAATTATCTAATTTTAGTATATAACTATTGTGAGAATTTACTATATAATATATTATAAAAACAAAAAATTAAGATAATTATAGTAAGATTGTAACTATTTAGAATATAACCATTGCAAGAATCTGCTATATATTAAATTTTTACTTATATTAGTTACAAGTATACAATAAGTATATAAATCATTTAATTTTAGCATGTTATTATTACAAGAATTTACTATATTATGTAATATATTATACTATTACAAAAATATTAGCAGAGTCTATTTTATTTATAACTTAAACTTACTAGGGCAGTAAAACATAAAAGAAACTTGTATTTTTACAAAAAATCATAAATTAAAATAGATTCTCACAATAGTCATATTCTAAAGTCAGATGATTTATATAAGCAATATTTTGAAAAAAGAGCCCAAATTGATAAAAAATTTTTTTACAAAAAATTAATTATCTTGTAAACAATTAATTAGAATTGTATAATTTTAGTACTATCTGATTCCTCTTGATAAGATGAATCGAATAGTATTAAAATCAAGCAATTCTGATTAATAATTTATGAGATAATTAATTTTTTGTAAAGCAAATTTTTTATCAATTTGGGCTCTTTTTTTAAAACATTGCCTATATGCTTATTGTGAGATTGTAACTAATACTAATAAAAATTTAAGACTTTTACTTTTTTTTTTTTTTTAAAAGGCAATCTTGCCTGTATGTCGTATTTATTAATAATGTATGATTACAAGTTTTTATATACAATATATATCAACGAAAGTACAACTAGTCACACGTATAACTTTAGTCATTATCTAATTAAGGGTTCCGCC